CCTGCGCAAGCTCAGGCTCCTTTCCCCCCAGCGAGGTGACATTCCATGTCCCCATAGCCAGAGTGGTTGTCCAGGGATTGGGCCGTCGCGGTCTCCGCCCACAACCGTCACCCAAATCACAAGGCACCGGCCCCTTGTGGGCCTTCCTGCGGGTGGTGGGCCCACTGGAAAGCGGACTCACGTCGCTTGTTCGGGTGAGCAAGGATCCGGCCACCAGGCGCTCGCCTGCGAGCCCCAACCCCGGGCCTGGCTCCAGGGTGAGGCCCCGGTGACGTCAATCCGGGCGACGTGAACCTCTTTGATTGATTTGTTTTCTTCATCAAGGGGGTGTTTTGAACTGCTATTTGTCTGATCCGTCGCCTAGGACCTGTTTGCCTTGGGAGACCCTACAAGGGGCGTTAAGCCCCTGACAACATAGCTCCTAGGTTCATTCGGATACTCAAACCCCTCCACCACATTAAGGTGTGCTTGTTAATTGGTTGATAAATATAAAGATTCTCCAAGTTCAGAAAGTGTTGTATTCAATGCCTGCCTTCTAATTTCCTGTATAGACTGGTTAGATTCCAGGTTTATTGAGAAGGGGTTCTACCGTTAAGACAGTGGACTGAACGGGGAATCCCTGCCCTGACCCCTGGACACAGGTCAACACTGAGAGCATATGAGTAATGCAGCTTTTGATAATAGCCTCTGTAGGAGGATCGACTGTTCAAAAACAATTACTGAACATGCTAGGAAGTTGAGGGAATGCAATTCGTTTTTTGATTAAACTTTTTTCACTAATTGAGTTTTCCATCTCCATTCCCATCTCCAGATTATTACACCTTTTGGAATGTTAAAAAATTGCCATATAAGGAGCCTCATAGCAACATTCTGCTCTGGATAATTTGGAATAAAATTACTTAGATAATCTGCTGATTGTCTACTGTCAGTTTCAGAGACTCCTTTTTCTTCATAATTTGTACAAGATGAAATGTAGATCCACCCAGAAGGCATTCTTTTATTCTCACCATGTTTATAAAACAATGACATGACCATAGAAGGTTAGATTTTATTTTCTCTGTGGATATAATTAAGAGATTTGACTTTTTGGTGTCCTTGGACAAGGATGTATGAAAATGGCAGTGTAATGCACCGTACCTGGGGATCTGGAAATATTTAAAGAGCTGTATTCCTCAACCTCATGCTAAAGGAAGAGGAGCACACCTGCCACACCTAACATTTGAAGTAAAATATGATTTTTTCCAAGAAAAGTTCTCTCTGTGTGTACACTCTTTAAAATTGTCATTTTCTCTTTTATAAAAAAACTTTAATTAAAACTCAAGTACTTCTGTTTTTTTCCTATAAATAACAAAACAACCATGACACTTGTGTGGATTTTGTACAGCATTTTGATGAATACAGAGGGAAGAGGACAGAACCACATTTAGCAAATACCAGGCTACAGAACAGGAATGAACTAAAAACTCTCTATTGGTCTTGTGACATATGATGAACCACAGACCTGTTGTGATTATACTTCTATAAGTCACTACTCCAATATAGCTTGCCAAGACAATTTAAACCACTGCAGTCAGTTAGCACTGTAGGTCAAAAAAATAAATTCTGTTTCAGAGGAAGTCCTCCATGAGGCTGACAGTAGGTTTATCCTCTAACATCTCCAGGTCACACCCCCTGATCCAGAGCAATGGTCCACAATTCACAGAAAATGCCATCAGCCGTTTGGAACTATCCTTTCCAGAGGATATCTCAAGTTTGAGCCACTTAATAAAGTCCTCCGTCAAACACAATTCTCACAAGGAAGTGTATCCTGATTAACAGGAATTATAATAACACTTTGGATCAATCCGTGAGAACTTTCTGATTGTTTGCACTGTTTAAAATTAACAGTTTTTATATATTTGGCACATTTACAAAAACACACTAAAGAAGTGTTTGTTGAAATGAAGGCTTTTTTTCTTCTAAGGACACAAAATTATTTTTCCACGGAATTTTATTTTAGTGATACTTAGTAACAGCTTTCAACTTCAATACAAATAGCTTACTCCTTGTTTGAAAATAATATTTCAGTAGTATTGTGATACTCGTGTCTGTTTTCATGCTTTGTCCAGCCACCTTTGCAATTAAACCTATTTGTTCAACTTTGCTCTACAACTCATTTTCACCAGGGGCCACATCATCAATACAGTTTCCCTTGAAGGGCGGTTGTAAATGGAGAATAGTGTAGATCAGAGGTCCCCAACCCATGGTCTGTGGACCTGTACCTGTCCATAGGTCATTTGGTACCGGGACACAGTTGGACACAGTACTTCATATGAAGAAAATCCAGTCATATGCATTTACTTTCTTTGTTTAAAGATAATCTGGAAATATTTTGAAAATTTTGAAAATAATGGGTAACAGGTGATACTGTCTGACCAGTCCTTGGAACCAAAATGGATGGGGACCACTGGTATAGATGTAAGCACTCTATAACAGACTAGTACATGTTTCTACAATTGATTATTATTTGATTGATTATAAAAACTTCTAATTTCTCAGGTTAAGAAACTCTGCTGCGTTGACTTTACTAAATGCTTTTTGAGCTCCCGCGGGCCACACAAAAGGGCTTGGCGGGCTGCATTTGGCTCCCGGGCCTTGAGTTTGACATGTATGCTTTACAAGATCGAATGAATGTAGTTTTAATTTTTCACTGTCTTTTTTTTTATTATTTATTTGTGGTGACAGCTTTGTTTATAATCAAATTGAGCTTATGCATCCTACCGTTCTTGATGACCAGGGATGTAGACTTGTAATTTGGGGATCCGGAGGTCTCGCTGGTCTCAGGGCTTGACAGAGTTTGTACACTGTGGCACCAAGATGCAACTGGTGCTTTGTGGGAAGTCAGAAAACTGTTGTGCTGAGAACAATTCTAAAAAAAAAAACAAATAAATAAATAAAAGAAACAATGTTACAACATCAATATGAGACACCAAGTTCATATGAATGTAAAATGTACTTTTTGCAGTGTACCTATCAGCCTGATATTTGTCGTGTGTTGCTCACCGTGAAGGACAAGGCCTTTCGCTTTTCTTTGANNNGCATTCCTGACCTAAACAAGAAGCAGCCTTTTACCCCTGCTAATTTGTCCACAAAAGCAGAAGACTTCACATATAAAAAAGATGTGTTCTAATAATGTGCTTCATCAGTAGCAGGCAGTGGCGTTGACAATAGGCTGAATGCCTTCTTACCTCACTGTTGTACACGGCATACACCAAGAAGATGAACATGCCCTGCAGAGAGGAGAGACACAGGAGAAAGCAAATGTGAACTGCTTTCATACAGCACAGCACTTTTAATGACGAGGTAAATCTTCATCACGTCTACTTAACTCTCTGCCTTGTCATCTCTGTCAAACAACATTTTTGGGTTGCCTTCAAAGGAGAGTGCATAAAGAAGACCTCCTCAAACCCTCTGTCTTTCTACTCCCTTCTGGCACAGACTTCAATCAAATACAACAGGGAGTGGCACAAAATCTGAGTCTAAATCAGTTTTCAGTTTTTTTTTAATTAAAGATCATTTGTATTTTCTTTTTAATATATTTTTAAATCATTAATTTAAATAAAATAATTCAGGAGATAAAGCACAACTGCATTGTTGATTTAAGACTTTTTGTAAAGTTGCTAAAACAATTTTTTGGTAATTGAACCAAAATTTCTTCTAATAGAAAGTTAAAGTGCAGTAATTGGTGTGGGTAGCATCCTGTAAGAGCAGTTATTATATGAACATGGCAGTAGCTGTTAGCACATCTATGTTCGTTTTTATTCTTGTTTTTCATGCCTGTTATGCAGACAGCTGATGGCTTCGACCCATTTTGTATAGTTTCCTTTCAAGGCAAATATAGGTTTTTTTAATTGAGTTCACTCAGCAGGTGTACACAAAAGAAAATACTCCTACTGCAGTGTTATCCACGTTCAAACAGACACCTGCAGTAAATCAAAATAAACAAGCAGCTCTCTGGGGTCACCCAGGGGCTATAGCTCATTTTGACTAATTGATTGCTCCATTGGGAGTGTTGGAGCAGAGATGGTGAACCCTGACTGGACTGTATGACTGTACTGCTGTATAACATACAGTATACATGTGAAGGGAGTGAGCACAATACAAACAGTGTGTGAAAGAGGCAGTATGAAAAAAAGGGCTGTGGGAGAGAGAGGAAGTGAATGCTGTGTTATCAAGGGAGGACTGCTGGAGGTTGATGTAGTGCCTCACAGACCTGTGGAGCACACACACACTGACACACACAGGGGGCATGGAGCGACATACAAAGAAAAATAGAGAGAGGGAAGAAACAGACAAAGTGTGGGCAATTATTCTAATAGCAACAGTGAAATGGCCTCATTTATTAGAACAGGATGGGTTTAAAAAAAGAAGTATTAACCAAAGTATTTCTTCTTTTTTAATGACTCTAATATAAGCAGTGGATTCCTAAGGTTAACACTGAAATGACCACAATAAACATGTAACTCGACTGAATGGACATGGATTCATAGAAACATGATCATCAGCAATTCAGTTCCCCTTGAAGAGCTGGTTGTAACTGGAAGACTGCGTAGGTGTTACTACTCCATAAGGTATTTAAGGAATAAAGTGTTTCTGCAATTGATTATGATTTATACAAGTTACAAATATTATAGATTAACAAAAAAAAAACTTGCTGCACATACTTTATTAAGTACTTTTTAAGCCCTTGAGTTTGACACGTGTGGTCTTTGAGGTTATCTTTTAGTAAGTTGTATAAAATCTCTCCATTGTCTCTCCACTCTCATATACAGTTTGTTTTCAGTGAATATACACAGTATTTCTCTTTGTACTTGAAATTGTTTTGTGCCAGTTCAGACTCAGACAACATGTCCAGTCAGCAGTAGTTTTACAACCACAGGGAGACATTTGTAGGTTTCACATACTTATATATATTTACCTGAAATGCATTTAGGGCGATGAAGACATAGGCAACGACAACAGACAGATGAACCAGCACGCCACACAGCCAGGTGAGACCCAGCACAGGAAGTAGGATAAGCAATGGACGTGCTATGGCCCTGAAACAAATAAATACACATAACACATACCTACTTAGTACTTAATGTAGTCAAAGCCAACATAAAAACCAAAAATGCTAGTATTTAAACATTTTAGAGATTTTGTAATAGGCAATGAAAATATATTTTTTGTAGCTCTCCTTCAAAAATCTCTGGAGGACCACTGATTATACTGCCTACACTTATGATCCAGGTTCTTTGTGATTATCATTTAAAATATTCAGGTGCTTTCATGTCCAACTACCATTTTCACGGGGCAGCAGAATAGGTGTCCTTTGTTCAAGGCACCATTGTTGTCTGACTGCTGCACCTGGGTAGAGTGACTGAGTTTTCAGACTGTACTGTGTAAGCAAGGACAAAGCCTGCTACACTCGAATGTTAAAGAGGAAAGAAGGTTCATCCCTTTTATTTTTGAAAGTAATTTTCCCTCTAATCTCCTGAAATTCTCATTAGACTCTCAAGATTGCACATACTTCTTCATTCAGTATGATTGCAAGGGAATGGAACGACAAGATGAGAACGAAGACTAGGTTTGTTCAGGGGAGGAGATGTTATTGGACAAATAAAGTGGTTTAAAAACAACCCACAGGTCCTTAGACAAATAATACGATTTATATTTTTAGATTCAATTATGTTTTTATTTTAGGTTTTAATAACAAAAAGAAATGTTGGCTTACCAGCTTTGACCGTGTTTTTTATTATATCTTTGTAAGGTTATTTATTTAAGAGTTGTTTTTGTTGTTTTTTTTTCTTTTTAATAATTAGGCAAACATAACATTTTCCCAAACTGGAATATCATCTTGATACAATTACCAATTTGATTCAGCTCCACTTTTGTTTGTGTGTTTGTTTGTTTGTTTGTTGTTGTTGTTTTTATGCTTAATCCAACTCTTTAGATAAAGGAAAGATTTAAGCTATGGTTTAGTGAAAGGTAATCCTTAAGAATTATACAATGAAGAAATTCTACCAAGTAAAAAATGATGAAGATAAATAATCAAGCTATTTATTTAAGATGATGAATAGGATAAGCATTTAAAAACTTTTTTTTTGTCCTAAAACGTTTTTGGACTTGAAAAACAATCTGGACAGACTAAATGACTACATGATCATGCCCCCCCCAGGAGACAGAAATTCTTTCATGCCCTCCTGATTTGAAATACTATTGAGAACCTGATCATTTGTAATTTTTTGTCTGTACAAACCACTGCATGAATTGCTGCCACCTAGTGACTGCAGTACTTCTGTCCAGAGTACTATATTCTATTGGAAGCCTCAGATGCCAAAACCAAAATGGAATCGAGTAAAGTGCAAAAGCAGTGCAGCAGCCGTAGTCCAAGGTCAACTGTAGCAAAAGGTGAGTGTGCGCGTGTGTGTGCCTGCAAGGAGTCAGGTGGTCTGTGTGTGTAGAGGAAGGGGTGCATGTGTGAACTGTGACAACTGGAGGGAAGGGTAAAGTGTCTGTATGGGGTGAAGAGGCGTTGCGGAGGGAAGGTGTGGTTGTGTGACCTAGGAGTGGGTGTGTTAGGGGTTTGAAATCTTCAACAGCTCTGGGGAAAAATCTGCTTCTGTCAATTGGTGTTTGTTTTTGTGTTTCTGTACCGTCTTCCAGATGGAAGTGGTACAAACAGTCATTTGGCTGGCTGGGTGGAATCTGCCACAATACTTCTGGCCCTCCTCTGCACCTATCCAGTTTATACTCCAGGTCCAGCTCAGGGAAAAAGAACCTCGTCAATTCCCTCTGCTGTTCTCACCACCCGGTTTCATACTAAAACAGAAGACATTTTATGTTGTTGCTTTGTAAAAGCTGAACTGATTTTGACACTCTTATGAAGTCTATGAAGATTCTCAGTCATACAGGTCATGGTCAAGTTTAAAAAGTTCTGTTAGGCAACGTCTTCTTTTAGAAAATTCACGTCCAGTTGCCTAACAGAACTTTTTAAACTTGACCCTGACCTGGATGACTGAGAATCTTCATAGACATGTTTCCACGCACTTTGGGATGGATACCCTCCACCTGGTGTGGGAGTATGAGAAAACTTCCAGAAAATTTGCAGACTACAGGAACCACCTGCGGTTTAATCTAAGGTGCAGACACCACAAGATAATCCCCACCAGCCTACGCCTCCTCTCAACAGTGAAAGGTCACAGGGCCGAGAACATCCTCCAGAAGGCACAGTATCAGCTGCTTAATGAACGAGTCAGACAGGTTAATTTCACCATCAATGCCTTGAGGGTAAAACTCGACCAGGTAAGAGAACAATTAACTATGCTACTCCCCAGGAATGTCATGGATGAGGTCTCCAAGTTTGCTGAGAAGGCCCAGATGTTCCAACATAACAAAAGTAAGGAACAACAAAAACTCCTTATCCTCCAGTCCAGTCTGCCTTTCCAGTCCAGACAGACCAATGCCACGGAATCTACACGAAACATCAAAGATTCCAACGCTACATGGCAGGGCTCCCAGGAGAATTGGGTGAAGAATTTGTCTGACAGAATCCTCACCCAGCCAGAAAAGGACGTCCTGGCCAAAGGACTGAACTTTGCGGTCGCTCCTGCACACATCCCCACCGTGGACCTCATTACAGCCACCGAGACAGCCATCAGAAACAACCGTTTAAACACCACAGAAGCCGAACAGCTCAGGTCGAAGGTCACTGTGGCACTCTCCAGTGCTAAACCTCCCCCTTCAAACCTGTCCCTCCCTGAGAGAAAAGCACTGGCAGCACTCCAAAAAGACCCAGACATCACAATCCTTCCAGCAGACAAAGGTAGGTGCACAGTTGTTTTAAACACAACACACTACCAAGCTAAAGTCCAAACTCTTCTCAGTGATTCAGCCACATATGAATCCTTGAAGAAAGACATCGGCTGCCTCCAACAGCTGGAAAAGGACAAAGCCATAGACAGACCCCTGTACCACCGGCTTTATCCAGGAGAAGCCATTCCTCGTATTTATGGTCTCCCCAACATGCACAAGGAAGGCGCTCCACTCAGACCCATCAACAGCAGTATCAACTCAGTCACTTACAACATTGTCAAAAACCTGGCCTCCATCCTTTCACCATTGGTTGGGGACACACCTCACCACATAGCCAACTCACAGGACTTCACCAAAAAGTTAAGGGGACTAAAACTGGACCCGGATGAGACCATGGTCTCCTACGATGTCACATCACTTTTTACATGCATCCCCACCACAGATGCGCTTACTTCAAGATCACACCCTGCCGGTAAGAACCAACCTGACCATTGACCACATCTGTGCCCTTCTGGATTTCTGCCTCACCACCACTTACTTCCAGTTCAACGAGTCCTTCTACAAACATGAAGCATACGAAGCATGGCCGTGCTATGGGCTCTCCTGTGTCTCTCATAGTGGAGAAGCTCTACATGGAGGAAGTGGAGAGCCAAGCTCTAAACTCCTACGTGGGAACAGCACCCAGCCACTGGTTCCGATATGTGGACGACACGGGTCAAGATCAAGATCCATGAGGTCAACAACTTCACAGACCACATCAACGCTGTGGACAGGAACATCAAGTTCATCAGAGAAGATGTGAAAAACAACAGTCTTGCCTTACTGGACTGTGCGCTTCACATCTCAGAGGACAGACAACTCAACATAGAGGTGTACCAACCCACACCGACCAGTACCTCCATTTTGACTCACACCACCCACTGGACCACACATTAGGAGTCATCAGAACCCTACAGTCATGGGCAGACACCATTCCCACCACCAACAGAGTTAAGATGAGAGAACAAGGACACATTAGGACAGCTCTCAAGACCTGTGGCTATCCCAGATGGGCCTTTTTTAAAAACTAACAAAAAGAGGCACACGAAGAGGGAGGACAAAAGGAGGAGGAATGTCATCATTCCATACATTTTAGGAGTTTCAGAAAAACTTAGAAGGATCTTTGACCAACACCAGATCCCCGTACATTTCAAACCTGGCAACACCCTAAGACAAAAACTGGTTCATCCCAAAGACAAGACTCCAAGGAACAAGCTGGACAACGTGGTTTATGCCATTCAGTGCAGTGAGGAGTGTACAGACCTGTACATTGGGGAGACTAAACAACCACTACACAGGCACATGGCCCAACACAGTAGGGCCAACTCCTCAGGACAGGACTCAGCTGGTCACATACACCTCAAAGACAAAACCCACTCCTTTGAGGACAACAATGTAGACATTTTGGCCAGGGAAGGCAGATGGTTTGAGAGAGGGGTAAAAGAAGCCATTTTTGTCAACCTGGAAAAACCATCACTCAACAGAGGAGGTGGACTCAGACACAACCTATCACTTTAATCTTAATCTTTTAATTAATTAAAACAGTTCAGAATACATCTGGTTGACTAAGCACACAGCCCAGCAGTTATTTGGCCGCTCTGAGGACGGTGACATTTATCAAACTCTCACCTTAATTCTGGCCTTCCAAGATACTCCGTCCTGTGTTTGCTCTACCAGCTCTAGTCTAGTTACCTAACAGAATTTTTTAAACACTCTTATGAAGAAGTCTTTGTTGGGTCTTCTTCCCCAAGGAGGACATGCTCAGAGACCAAGTCAGGTTAGAGGAGATGGTGATGCCCACAAATTTGATATTATACACGATCAGGAGAAGAGTGTGTTTTGTCCCTGTGACCATCCAGTGATCCATAAGGACCTCCTTGATCTTGCTGGTGTTCCGGATAAGGTCACTGGATGAACTCCAATATGTCTGTTGCCTTTTCTCCTCTCTGTAGTCAATCCCATAGTTACGATAAGACCCACTACAGTGACGTTGTCTGTGAACTTGGTGATCGTGTTGGTAGAACATTCAGGGTGACGAGAGTTGGGCTGAAAACACAACCCTGTGGTGTACCGGTGTTCAGGACCTGGAAGTAGATGAAGAACATTACCCCAGTCTCATCACCTGAGGTCTGGTAATGTCCTCCACATTACCAGACCTCAGACCTCAGACCTGATCCTGTGGCCAAGTGATGCGATCCAGGCTGTGGAGCTTCTGCTCATGCTACCAACCTAGCATGATGAGCTGAGCTGGAGTCTATGAATAGCATATGTGTTTGGGTGCTGCAGGTTGGTCGAGGGTATGTGATACTGTATGTGTGGGACCCTATACAGTACTCCGTTTGTCCCAATTCCCAAACTAAAATGTATATGGAGGGGCCAGAACACATCTGCGGCAGTGGTGGCTTAGTGGTTAAGGAAGTGGACTTAGTACAGAAGGTTTCAGGTTCAAGTCCACCAGCTGCCAAGTTACCACTGAGGTGCTCTGAGCATGACACCGTCCCCACTCACTGCTCCCCTTAAAGCTGACCACTGTTCACTTTGGTGATGGGTTAAAAGCAGAGGTCACATTTGGTTGTGTTCAGTGGTGAGCTGTGTCACAGTGACAAGGAGTTCACTTTCCTACTTTACTTTACTTTAATAACACTAAGATTATTACAACAGCCAGATTATTAAGTTTATGTACAGCTTCAGAAACTTAATGGAGCTCCTTTAGAACTATGCAAATTACACCCAAAATAAATTTAAAAATATGAACACATAATTGAATGACACTTTTATATAAAATACCACATCCAAAGAAATACACCAATAGCTAATAGTGTAGCTTGTATTCATTTATGATATTCTATTTTTGTATGCTAATCCTCTTTTCTCCTGTCAAATTTTTTAAAAAAGTCAACGTTTCCCAGACTTCCCCTGTCTGTGTCTTGGTTTAATAGGCTGCAGGTGTTTGTAGTTAGCTGACTGATGTTGGGGGTGGGTCCTAGAAGCTAACTGCTCCTCCAAAGAATGTTCAGCATAGACTGAAATCTTCCAGCAAGAGTGGGAGTTGCCTTGAACTGCTCTCAATCTGACTGCTGGCAGACAAGTTTTTTTTTGTTTTTTTTTTGTTTTTGTTTTTTTATACAGACCTGAAAAACGGTGTCATTGTAGTTGCTGCTGCTGATATTTAACCTTTAAAGGTTTGGATAGGCAGTCTATCTCCCTTTGTTGTGATCAGGCCCCTCATAGGCCTAGAAGTCAAGGCTTATTCTTTACAAGAACAGAAACATTTCAGAAAAGAAAAACAGCCCTGGTTTGGCAGATCATCTGGGCAGAACGTTTGTCCCGAGTCGTGTATGGCAAGTGTAAAGTTATTTTTTAGATTTTGAAGTGGACAAAAGTCTTATGTCTTTTTTATTGGGTGAACATGACACCTTTGGATTTTTTTTTCTCTGCAATCCACATAGTCTTCCTGTATCAATTCAAGAACAGCAATCTGTGTCGTTCTCAACCTGCTGTTACCATGATCAAGGAAATAAACACCTACCTTATTTTTGCTTACCCAAGAGGCTTTCCACAAATAAATATATTTAATTTATGGAAAAGGTTTCATTTTTATGTTTAAAAATGTGTCATGATAACACATCAACACTAAATTTGATTACTGCCCAAATATGACTATGATAAAATGTGGCTGGCAATTATAATTTTTGCAATATGCAATATGGAACAAGGTAAAGTGCAAAGAAAGGAAGCAGTGCACAGCACATTTGGAAAAGCCTTAGTTCTTCACATGGTCCATCACAATCATTAAATTATAGACTGAGCTCAACCTGCCACTCCCTTTTGGATGATCAATAAAAAAGCAATGCAAAAAAAGAAAGAAAAGCACAAAAAAACTAAAAAATCTATCTATGAGATTTTCTGCACAAAAGTAAGCATCTTGCCATTGTAATAAAATATGTGATTCCCCTAGTCATGCATGATGTGAGAGACACAAGAGGCACATGAGAAGCACTTTCCAAATCACAGTAGACTTTGTTACTCTTTCACCTGTAGAGCTGTGTCACCTGCACTTGCTTGTCCAGTCACATTGTTCTCTGTGATGCTTCGTCGGCATATGTTCTGCAGGCTTTCATTTCAGGCCTTCTTCGGTGCCAAGTCTTGTGAGATCCTCTCGTGAACCCAGCTTCCTCTTCCTGCTCCTCATCACTACCACCAGCCACTTCAACTTTCTTCACTTAATAATAATAATAACAATAAAGATCCTTGTAACAAGCATTAACCACAGTTGCAGTGGCACTTAGTGTCCCCATTTAAGCCCTCACTGACAGATTCCGGTACAGTGCGTTTAGCTGTTTGTACATCTTTGCCTGATTCATACTTTTTCCCAAGCAACCATCACAGCAACACCTCAGCACTGTTGACTTCTTCAGTAGTTGCCTCTGCAGAGCGGGAGTTTTTGGTTAGCTGGTCAAAGGGTTCCAGTGCTGGTCATCTTCTCCAATATTCCTACTGAGTTGTTGTCAATGTTGTGAACAGTTCATAATCAGCAGCATAAACACTTAAAGCCCACTCTTGCTCCACCAGGATACGGTGACTGAAAGCAGCTTTTCTGTGTGGCTGTAAACAACATGGTTCCACTAGGGTAATGCATATGTGACTTAACATAGCAAAATGTGACTCGGGAAACTCCACTAGTTTGATAAATCAGGCTAGTCCACTCCAATGGAGTGCACTTCATATTTTATGATTGATGGCTTTCCACTTGGTGGATCTTTCTGTTATATTTCTGGCTAGGTTTTTAACTTTGCTGCAAAAATTTTGCTTTGAGGAGGCTTTGCAGTAATTTTATTAGTGAGGCGGACACTTTCAAGCGTGTTAGCCACAGATAGCCTTTAGAAAGAGGTAATCTTTCTAATAATCAAACAATCAATCGTGCATCAGGAATTATTTTGGGCATTTAAAGTAAAGTAATAATTTATATGTACCTTTTGGCCAATACAGGCATTATTGATTATTTTATTTTAGATTTTTATTAATGGCAGAAGAAACCATTTCAACATGTACAGATGTATCATTATTTTATGCATGTCTGGCAGATATTATCGGATATTCATAAAATAAACATATACAAGGCCGTGATGTGAATGTGACATGTGAATTTAGACACACACTCTGTGTGTGTGTGTGTGTGTGTGTGTAGTTTTATTATTGCTTTAATTTGGGGACATGTTGCAGGGGCCCGAAAGAATAGAGCATTTTATGAGATTCAATACGCTGTTTGGAATATGGGAGGAAGAAAGTAAGACAAAAAGAAATACAAAAAGAAAGAAAGAAAGAAAGAAAGAAAGAAAGAAAGAAAGAAAGAAAGAAAGAAAGAAAGAAAGAAAGAAAGAAAGAAAGAAAGAAAGAAAGAAAGAAAGAAAGAAAGAAAGAAAGAAAGAAAGAAAGAAAGATAGACAGAAAGAAAGAAAGAAAGAAAAGAGGGGCAAATAAGAGTGTCACAGAGAGGCAAAACGCAGCATCTTACCAAGTCAGGTCAAAGGTTTGAAATTTTGATGATAAGCTTGGAGTGAGCATCTTGGCACGTCGGCGAGCACTGGAAACAGTTACCATGACAACCCGGCACAGCACAACAGCATTTATCTGCAGGCAAAGGAAAGCAGTGTAAAGGTGGCCAACCCAAATTTGAGCAGATCAAAACCAATTCTATACGTTTCTGAAGTCTTTTCAATTCATGGGAGACACTGAACTAACATCAGATGCCTGTGTATGTGATGCTTACCAGAAACTACTATTCAAATCATAGTCATTCACAAACAAACCATTCATTTTCATGCACACTATATTTATGAAACAAACTGAGGATGGATGGATTGACGAATAACACAAGATTTACTATTTTAAAGAATTTTTTTTTTTTTTTATATTTTAAACATTTTGGTAAGGCAGCATTCAAGACATTATAAGAACATACACAGATAACATACCGTCATGACAAATATCACTGGTCCCACAAAGGCCCAGATGGTGTTGGTCTTCACGTTGAGCCAGCAGTGATTGTCTGCTTTGTATTTTTCAACAGATACTGCCAATGTGACACCAACTATAAGAACTGGTAGTCCTGAAAAATAATTCCACAAAGGAACATCAGAAAAGATTTGTGAGGCTAACAGGTGCAGCTTGGACAGAACAGGATATTTAGTCTGCTCTTGAGTTTAGTCTGACAGAAAAGTAGTTAGTTCACTGTGTTCACTCACAGCATGCATTGCCTGAACAGTATGTTTGTTTTTACTGAATAAACCCTTTTGTGTGATTTAAAATAGCTAAAAACAGATACATTTAATAAATAGGTTATTGATGAATTAATAAACTAATAATAACTGGTTAATATTATATTAAATTGCAATAACAGTACAAAGTCGGACATAATGTGTCTTACAGTTGTCAGAAAACTACAAAAATCATTCACACATTGTCTGAATATTGCTGCAGTTGCAGCATATGACTCCCACTGCTGGGCTGTTAATTAGTATATATTACTCTAAATTAGAACTTTGTAATTTGTACAGCCGTGTTCAAATTTTACAATCAAAGTAGTGTAATAACTTATGATCATTTGTTATGTGTACCATTACACATCTTGAATCACTAAACATGAGACAAATACTTATTACTACTATTACTTCTACTAATTATTCAAATTTATCCAACAGGAGTGGATATAGAAGTACATGAGCGATGAGCATGTACCCCAGCCAATGATGTAATATATTTTCATCCTGTGATCGTCGTTGATGTTGACTGACACAACTTTACTCCAGAGCAGCAAGCCCTCCACCAGCATCCAGGAGAAGGAGGACATGAAGAAGAGGTGGAGAAGGGCGGTCACCATGAAGCATGCCCCCTACGGATGACGAAGACAATCGAAAAACTGATATGCCAAATGTGTTACATTCCATGTGTAGGTATTGCTTTAACATTTTCTACACTTTATAAAAGTACATTCAGTTCTCAAATGAACAACAAAGACATGCACTTTGACCTTTAACTATCAAGCTAAAGGACAATGCGAGAATGTTTACTGCTTTTACTGAACACCAATTGTTTTCTACATACAATGCAGAAATCTGGGTTTGACAGTAAAAAAAGTCATTGGCCTATTTTATCATTACAGTAAATTATTTTATTATTATATCTGAATAATTTAGAATGGTGAGTTCAATTGGGGTCAGTATATGGTCACTGTTTGATTTTTGTTTTTTATGTTATGCTGGAAATTTAAAATATTAGATAAATGAAAAGCAAGCCAGTACAAATGTGTCCTTACTATATTTGGCTAAAACAATCCATTATTCCATTATAAACAACCAGAACTTTCTTTGTTCTTTTGCATGTTAGATGTTTAGGTAAAGACTTCAAAGACCTTAAAGGGTAATTGGTTTTACTGCTCTATTTCTCTATGACTTACTGTTGACTGTACTGTTCTTCTCTATATTTTACATTTATATTTCAGCTGGACACTTTATTTGTACATTGAGTTTCTTAATATTTAATTATTTCCTTGAAATTAAGTTACATTTTACTTCTTTTTTCTTTTCCTTAGTGAAAAGCAGGATTTTTTCTTTTTAATATCTTTCACTTTGTTACTTCGTTACTGTTCCAAGGCATATTAATAAAAGAACAGTCTCACCTCACTAGCAGATGCCCAGTCACTGCACATCAACAGCAGCTCAGCAATGCCAAGAGAAATGATCAGGTTCTTGTGGACAGTGGTGCGGTCTGATTTGGGGACACTGTCAAAGGAACATACACAGCAATTAAAAAGACAGACAGACATACATACACACATACATACAGACAGACAGACAGAGAGAGAGAGAGAGAGAGAGAGACAGAGACAGAGACAGAGAGACAGACAGAGAGACAGACAGACAGACAGATAGACAAGGAGAGCTATGACTTTGACATTCGACACACACATACCGGTACATATCTATATATTTGACAAGAATACAGCCAACTCTGAGGATCTCGGAATAGTTTAATTTTTGAAAAGTGCTAAATGTGTTGCTGTTAGCACAACTAGAAAACTCTGTGTTACTTTTTCTTTTATCAATCTGAGTTCAGCAGAGCTGTATGACAAACTACTGTATTTTCACCCTCAGTCCTTTACACTGTGCCCTCCTTGACTCACCCCACAACAATGAAGATGATAAAGGTGAAGAGGAGGCCACACAGAGACACTCCACAGCCAATGAACGTCAGCACCTGCAGAATGTTTTCATTTTCTGGACTTCTCTGAAAGCACACACGCGTGCACGCGCGCGCACACACACACACACACACACACACACACACACACACCATGAGCTGCAAATGTCATAGATAACAATAACATACTGTAGATACTTGTCTTATCAAGCCGTGCATAATGCGACTGGGGAATGTTACCTGGGTTTCAAAAACTTGCAGCAGCAATGCAAAATTTGTAGTGTGATTGCAGTAGCAGACAGTGAATCCAGATTCTTTGGACACCACCTCACAGCCTTTGGTGTTCCACCAACCACCAGACTCTGGACTAAGTAAATACAAACAGACAGAAGAAATTGGCCCTAGTTTGAGTGCATCCAAAGTGTCCCAATTGTCTGGAATGGCAGGGATAATAATAACAATTGTAACAACAAAAACAATATTAATAATAATAATAATAAGGCATCCATTAATTTATTTGTAATTATTATTATTATTGTCTCTAGTACTTACATGAGATCAAAATCCCAGAAGGCACATATTGGATCATACACTATCCCAGCACGACTCTGTACAGATAAATTGACAAATGAAAAATGTTGCTTTTCAGTGCATGCTATATTAAAATCAGAAGAGCAACTCAACATAATTGATATAAATGTTGAAAACCTGAGCCCTGTGCTTGAGCTGGAAGCGAACTGCCATACTGACTGGCTGGTCATCACACAGTGCTGTGGTTGATATGACTGAAGAGCCCATGATCGTCCCAAGGTACCTGTTACGGTCAGAGATTTATACCTTTTAAAGATAGACATCACACAGGTCATATCTACATTTTTATATAATAATAATAATAATAATTGTAAATCATTTTTATAGTCATTAGTTTGTGTAGTATCTAGTATTACTTATTCCAGTAGTAAACTGTTTCTACTCAAGTGATCTTGCAAGTGATCCCATGATTCCATGCTGTTTGTGCTTACATGAACAACAGACTTGCATTGAAGCAAAAAAAAAAAAAAAAAAACACTAAATAAATAAAAAGACCAGACGTCCTATTTCATAATCTAAAAAGTAGCTACACATTTTTTTCTAAATGTTGTATGATTTTTGCATGGTATGTTTCAGATTTATTCAGTTGAAAATGTAAATATGAAAATATGAATTTCCCCTATGTACCACTAGAGAGTGCTGGCGTACCACAGATGATACATGTACCACAGTTTGAGAACCACTGATTTAATCTATGTATAAACCCTCAGCTGTATCCGGTGCTTTTTTTTTTCCTCTGGCTGCCATCTGTCACTGTAGGAGTCATAGAGATGTTGTCCTTGGGAGTGACTGGAGGTCGCAGAGAGCCATACCACGTATTGACCAAGGTGAACTTCTGAAAACCTAAACATTTGACACAAATGAATAATCCTAACACACAGTAAAATTGTTTAAATTGGTTGACCTAGCAAAACACTTGGTTACCATTATTTTGAAGATCCAGTATTTTTTGATGTGGAACAGAAATACAGTCCAGACTACTCAGCTCAGTTGTTGGCCCACAGAAGCCTGAAATTGTGAATCCCTTCTGCAGTGACTGCTGCTGCACCTGAAGTTCTTTAAAAGAAAATGATAAAATAATAATTTTACACAGATATAAATATCTGCTGTCCTTACTACCTGTAATTTCTGTGAATGAATCCTTACACAAAAACCCAACAGTATAATAGGATATCTCCTTTATAACAAGATTGTTAGTGTAATATATAAAAATAAATACATGTCAACTCATTTGTCACACCCCTCCCACAAGTGTTTTTTTTCTTCTTTGTGTTTAACGTCTTTCTTTCTTGTTTTTTTCCTTGATTACTTTTGTTTTGAACTTTAAATAAGAACAGAAATCATGTTGTTTGTTTGAAGCATGCTTTTTACTGTAGTAATGTCCTCAGCCTGGCAACAAGGGAGCCAAAAAATAAGAAAGCAACCAATTACTTCCACAGCACAGGTCCAGGCAGGACAAAATGACTGTTTTTCCACATAAGGCTTACTTCTGTACATCAAGTCACACAGGTGTACATCACTTCCCAACATTCCCCCTGTTGGACAATAGGCAGGTATAGAAAACAGGTACCTGTTTTCAATGGTTTACAGAATTAAATATCACAAAGCCAAGTATTTGCACTCACAGATAGCATTAGTTATAATTATGGTGTGATAATTGTATCTTTAATTGATGTTCAGTACTGTGGGAATTAAAACTGAAGTACCTGGAGAGAACTAAATGTAATCTTGCCAGAGTTAATGTCCTATATTTTATTTTGTACCTGAACTTCCAGGGAAAGGCCCATTTGTTTCTGGTGACCGTGCACCCAAGCCATGACAGAAGCAGTGGACAGTCACTATAGATGTAGTTTGCTAGATTGTAATCTAGACCATCCAATGAAATCATCCAAATCACCAACTTATATACTACCTGGAAGGACCGTGGTGTCTTGAACTCAAAATATAATAACTGAAAGAAAACATTGAATTGCAATGTGTTTTAAGCTCCAGGCGCCCACACTACTGATTCTGAAGACTTCAGGCCAATTTATTTCACCCTGGAAAAAGATGTTTGCTGAAATATGGTTGGATAAAATACTATATGTGACTAGAAGCAGCGCAGCCAACAGAAAAGAACAGACTATTTAGTATTATTTTATAACCATTCATGGTAAAAAAATATTGAAAAATAAGATGATTCGGATACTGTTGAGGCCAGCAGAGAAGATTGCTGGCCTTGACAGTACAACACTGCACTGGACATCAGGTACAGTATTATTCTATGTGGATTCTCATACACAACATTGTGTCCTTTGTCGTTAAGATTCAGAAGGACAGATAGAACCTGTCCTGAGGAGTTGTCTGAAGCTGTACATGGGGCAGTGGTGGCTTAGTGGTTAAGGAAGTGGACTTGGGTCCAAAAGGCTTTGGGTTCGAGCTTAAAGCTGCCCACTGTTCACTTTGGTGATGGGTTAAAAGCAGAGTGGTGTGTGTCACAACGACAAGTAGTTCACTTTCCTACTTTAAGCATCAGCGTATGGTGTGCCAACACAACAAACATGGAGATCGGGATTGTCATCATCCTTGCCAGAGAAAACAGATTGTTTGAGAGATGTGTGAAAGAAACCATTTCTGTCATCCTGAAGAACCTTTTCTTAATAAATGACGTGGCTAAACACCAGCATTCAGCTGCCGACAGTGTGGTCCTGAGTTTGGTTCCACCACACTGTAGGCAGTTTTAACCTCATACACATAACACAGGTAAGGTGGTACCAATGACCCCCTCATTCTCTCCAAGACCACCTCAGGTGGTTCCAGCAACACATTGATCTATGTGAAAACCTCAACCAATCTTCATACTACCCAACATTCTTTATCACACAAATGTGAAACTTACTAATGTTATGGCTGTGAATGGTCAAGTGGTCAGTCTCAGCCATCAGCACTGGACTCAGTCTTGCCACAAAATGGTCAATATTCTTGACCACATCCATGGGGCCATTGACCACCTACAGCACACAAAGCACAAGTGTTTCACCTTCATGACTAGGAGAAGCAGCAGAATCAAGGGTTAGCAAATCTAAAACGTGATAATTCAAGAACAACATTTTATTCCACAAAATGAAAACGTCCTGTTAGTGGTATAAACTGGTTAAAGTGATAGGTAGAGCCAGTAACCGTGTAAGTCACTGTTGTTTTACCATTGTCATTTAGGATGGCATCAATTTCTGAAATAAGTGTGTGCATAGTCAGGTCATGTGATAGATAGAGTGTGCAACAAAGAAAGAGTACATGCTTAAAAAATATGTAAACATTGTTAGTGCTCACAACGTTGACCTGATTCAAACTGTTAAGAATGCTGAGGCGAAATTTGACAAAAAAGGTAAAATGCTTTTTTTTAAAAAAAAAAGAAAGAAAGAAAAATAAATTGTTAAATGTAACTTTTGCAACTTTAACCTTTGTTTTGTTTGTTTGTTTTCATTTTGAATAATGTTTGTTTATTTTGCCTACAAAAAACTGCCAGACTTTGATCAATCTAGATATAAAGAAATATGAATAGAGTCAGTGGTTGTTCTTTCAGCTTCAATGCTGGGTGAAGGATGAGCTTGCATCATTGGAGGGATACTGCCCTCCAGTGTTACAAAGCTAAACTAGCAGTCTACTTATTTACTATTCAATTTTATTATTAATTCAAATGGAAATGAGTTGAATGAAAATTTCACCTAGAACACAAATCCTACTCATTATGTATTTATAATAATAATAATAATAACAATAACAACAACAATAATAATAATAATAATAATAATAATAATTATTATTATTATTATTACTTTTTAGAGTATTTTGTTGAAACATTTTATTTTTAGACAAATTACCAGAAATTATTTTATTTTATTTAATGACACTTGGCTGGCAGTCAGTGCTAAGACTAACAATGAGTACATGCAGCAATGTAGTAATATCCAAACATTTTTTAGGTAAATATGATACAGGTACAGATAAAAACAAGCCTTCTGCATTCTGTACAGCTCTTACCTCTCTGATGGCTTGCCACTTAACAACACTGTCTTGGCTGATGATGCTGTCAGCCACCTTAATGTAGTCTTTGCTCATCTCGTGGAGGCCTTCTCTGCTTTGGTTGGTGGCATCCACTGAATGATGTTGCCCTGTTGGGACGTCAGCTGCCATGGACAGCAACTGGATTAAGGACACCATGTCTGTTGGCTGTAGTTCTTCTTGCTGGCTGTCCTCCAGGGCCTGGACAGAGATGTCCAGGAGCGCTGAGGCATGTGCCAGGCTGCTCAGGCTTGAAGAATGCTGTACTATTACAGGCTGTAAATAAGACACAAAGACAACCAATTTAGAAATGACTCTGCATTACTAAATGGTTGTTTCATACTGATGTTCCTGGTTCAAATTAGGCAAAGATAGTTCTGTTATCTGTTGCTGTGTTGTAGTTGGCACTACTACGTATTACTGCAACCACGCATGAAGTCTTCCTCAGGTCAGGGACCTTCTCCAGTCTTAGACTGAGGTTAAAGATGTGCAGAATATCTCCACAGAGCTGGCCTCTCAGTAGTCTTGAGCTGATACCATTGAGGCCTGCAGTTTTTTTGGCCTTGTCTTTTCTTTGCTCCGCTGATCCTCATCTGAGCCGCTGTGATGGAGAAGGTGGGGGTGATTCGTCGGGAGAGAGAAGGGTGGGAATGGGGACAGCCACTGGTCCCTCTGATGTCAATGAAGAGGGACTAGTGGACGTTCATTAGGTGCACCAACAGACTAATGGGTGGGTGAAGGAGTTGGTGGATAATAAAAACATGTTAAAGAACAGGTTTAGTTGTTAGTCCTCTCCCTGTCACTGGGTCCTGTTGGAGCTGGACTCTTACTGCTGGGGTCTAAGATTGTTCTCAGTTTTCTCCACACCTTCCGAGTATTAATCTGTTGGAGCAGCTCGACCCGAAGGTCAGCGTAGAGGGCCCCTCATTTAGTCTGGTGTTCGTTAGCCTCCCAAAGCCTTTATAGACGACGTGACTGTCAAAACATCACACGTCCCTGGGAGTGGGTAGATCCTGTAGGGCCTTGGTGGCCCATACGAGCCCGAATGAGTTTCTAGGCAGTGAAGTCTAGATCCCTTGTGCTGAAAACAGGAACGTTTACTGTCATGTTCCATTTTACACAACTGCACTATAAGAGACATAGCAGTCATCCAGACATGGCCGGTCAAAGTGCAGAAATCAGGCCTTCCAGGCCAGTTCAGGGTCTGGAGTTATCAACATGGAATCCTCCAAGGGTCCTCTAGCAATTCTTGTTCTGCGCAGTCCCAATCTCAATAACTACCAATCAGGAGTCCACAAGGTCTCTCAGGCAGGGATTGAAGTCTGGACGTGGAAGTGGAGAGCAGCTAAGGCTGTGGATGAATCCCGTTTGCAATGTCGAGGGCAGTGACTCGGGCCAGAGTCACCCAGGTAGCAGAACAATACTTTGCTTTGACAAAGCAAAGGAGGACAGGAGAGCACTGAACCAGGAAGAGGTGTGGGCATCAGTGGAGGCAGAGCAGTCCAGCTGGGTGGTGGACAAGATTGGTGCAAGTTGTAGAGCGCAAGCTCACACGGGTCGAGCTGTTGAAGGCCAAGCCCCATCACATCTAGTCTGCAGTCTAGGACGTCTATGATGTCCCACCACGCCCAAAACTGTTCTGCTGCGGGACCGTTTGGCCTCCTGGCAACAGATAGGTAGGTCAGAGCTAACCTGAGGAAACAAGTGAAGTTCTCAGAAAATGAAGTCAAAACAACTCAAAGACCAGATTTGGTCCTGACCTCAGTAACCTCCAAGTATATTGTTCGCCTGAAGCTCACTGTCACCGGCAAGGACCTATTGAGGAGGATAACAAGATGATGAGCTTTTGGAGGAGTGCCAGCACAACAGGTGGAGGGCTAGTTGCTGGCGTGTTGAGGTGGGACGCAGAGGCTTTAGAGGTCAGTCTCTCAGCAGGGCCTATAAGACGCTGAGCGTCACCAGAGACAGAAGGAAAAGGGCCATCAAGGAGGCCACTGAAGCAGCAGCAGAAGTGTCTTTAAGGAGACTGGGGATTAGGAGAGGAAATCTGTGGTTGGGGTAATGTTACCTGGACACAAGCCAGGGCTTAATCACCCTTGAATGGGTTGCCTGGAGTGTCTGATGTTGGAAAGACCTAAAACACTCAGTATGTGTGTACAGTATATTATAGCTGCCATATTATTATATTTTTATTCAGATTAATCAGAGGGTAGTGGTTGAATAATCAATCAATCAATCAGTTAATTATAATTAATCTAGATTACTCAACAATCCTAAGTGCACCAAAAAAGACTATATTTTTCTGTATTTTGTTGGAATAGAAAGAAAAATAACCGCAGGATGTATGTGTTTCATGCTTATTTTGTTGAGAGATACATCTTGCAGATATGCTAGGACACTTCATCGGTGATGTAACCTAGGGTCACAGGGTGTTTCGGGTCTTTCAATTATCAGACACACTCACCCAGGTGACCCGACTGGAGGTGATCAGACTGTCCCAGCCTGTGTCCCAGCAGTGTTTGCCCACAGGACTGCCCTCTTGATCCAAAGCCATCTTGTGGCTTTCTATGCGGCTTCAGTTGCAGATTTGATGGCCTTCCTCTTTGCCTCCCCTGTGAGGCCCAGCATAGTGAGGACTTTGCAGAGGGTCCACCCTGCAAATCGTCGGCAACCCACCTCCAGGGGTTCACAGTATATCTTACAGCCTTGGCTCCTGCATTCGTCCATCTGCTCCTGGTACTTGGCATGCTTCCTCTCATTGGCCTCTTCCATGCGCTCTTCCCAGGGAACTGTGAGTTCCAGAATGATCAGCTACTTGGTGGAATCTGAGACAATGATCATATCTGGTCGGAGCCGTGTGGATGTAATTCTGGCTGCAATCTTCAGCTGTTTGCCCAGATCCACTTCCAGTTTCCAGTCAGTGGCGAAGGTGAGGAGGCCTGGCATGGCCCTTGGTTGGATGTCGGGCTTCTCTCGGGCTCTGTGAAAACTGATGGTCTTAGGCTTGTTGTGGCTCTTGATGGTGGTAATGGCCATGACTACGCTCTCAGCAACCGCCTTTAGCACTTGGTCATGGCGCAAGCGATAGTGCCCTTCTCCAAGGGCTTTTGGGTAGCTGCTGAGGAGGTGTTCATGGGATCCCCATTCTGGACACTGGGGGCAGGATGGTGTCTCTGTTTTGCCCCAGACGTGGAGGTTGGTTGGGCTTGACAGGACATCGTAAACAGCCTGGACTAAAAACCTGATGTTAAGAGTGTCTGCTTTCCAGATGTTTGTTGCCTTATTCCCACCAACCTGCTGGCTCATTCTTCCTCCACGCCTGCCCGCACTTCCTCATGAATGAGGTGTTGGCGCCCTTTTCCCTGAGCTTTGTCCACCCTGGTTGCTGGGAAATAGCCAATCACTGTGCGCCCTGAGGCTATGGACCCCACCAGCACCTTCTGCCTCAGTCGCGACTCTGCCACTTCCAGAGCTTCGTCTGCCCTCCATTTCCTGCCTGTTCTCACCTGGAGGCCAGCCCTGGATTCCCTGTACTACAGGATTCCCAGTGTTCTGGTTACCATGAACTCTTCAGTGAGTCCACTGAACGGGAGCCGCAAGATGTTACTACTTCCGTACAGGGCAGCACTGCTCAGGCTGCGGGGTAGGCCAAGCCATCTTTGCAAGTAGCTGCTGATCTTTCTCTCCATGGCCTCAACAGTTGTCATGGGTACTGCGTACACTAGCAGAGGCCACAGGATCTGGGGCAGGACGGAATGTTGGTAAATCCAAGCCTTAAATCTCCCTGGCAGGCCTGATTTGTCAACACGCCTCAGCCAGTCCTTCGAGCTCCTTGCTGGTTCTCTGGATGGATGTGGAATCTTTGAGGCTGCAATCAAAGTACTTCACGAGGCTCTTAACTGGCTGCTCTGTGATGGAAGGGATGGTGGCTCCAGCCAGAGAGAAACGGAACCTGTCTGTTACCTTTCCCCTCTTGAGCACTGGAGACCTGGATTTTGCTGGCTTGAAGCTCATCCTTGCCCATGTGATGAGCTTCTCTAGGCCTTACAGAATCCGTCTACTGCCTGGGACAGATTGGGTGGTGACAGTTAGGTCATCCATAAAAGCTCTTATAGGGGGGTGGCGTACTCCAGATTTTGTCATGGGTCCCCTGCACTCCACTTCTGCAGACTTGACGATCATGTTCATGGCGAGTGCACACAAACTGACTGAGATTGTGCAGCCTGTTATAATGCCTTTCTCAAGACGGTGCCGGTCTGATGTGCCTGTCTGATGTGCCTGACCCAGCAGTGACTCTTAGCCTGAAATTGTTGTAATAATCCAGAATAAGGTCTGTAACTTTGCTGGGAACATGATGTCGCAGGAGAGCGAGTTGAACAAGCTTGTGAGGTATGGAGCCGTACGCATTGGCAAGGTCCAGCCAGAGTTTTTCTTCAGGAGACTCCCTGATGAGCTGGGTCACCACGCCATTGTGTTCCAGACAGCCAGGCACTCCAGGAATCCCACCCTTCTGAACATAGGTGTCAATGTAGCTGTTCTTCAGAAGGAACTCTGTTAGTCGTTGCGACAAGAGGCTGAAGAAAATCTTGCCTTTGACGCTTAGCAGTGAGATGGTTCTAAACTGACTGATGTCCTTTGAGTCCTCTTCCTTCGGGATCCATACACCCTCTGCACATTTCCATTGGCCTGCAACTTTTCCCTTGTGCCAGATCACCCTCAAAATCTTCCACAGGTGTTGAAGTAGTTGTGGGCAGCGTTTGAACACAGTGTATGGAACACCACTGAGGTCTGGGGCTGATGCTGTTTTGGCTCCACTTACAGCCTCCTGCACTTCTGTCTAGCTGAGCTCTCTCATTACAAACTCAACTGCTGGAGCTCCTGGTCCAAGCTCCTGGTCCCTGTCTGGGTCGCTCAGGGTGTTGTGCAAGAAAGCGTTTGCTATCATCAATATTGCAAATTAATTGATTTTAATCATTAATGTGCATCTTGTGCATCTTAATTTCTCCATGTCTCATTAATTAGTAGTGTTTTATCCTAACATGCTTTTTCAGCAATATTAGATGAAAAAAGTCAGTTAAGATGGTATACCTGTGTTATGTTGGAAATCTTCATTATTTTGTTCATAAAGGCAGTGGGTTGAGAGTCTTGAGAGTCCCTCAACTGCTTCATCTTTAGGTAACGCTCTGTCAAAAACAAACAAACAGTGCAGAGTGCTGCAGCATCTTGATGGTAAAAAAAAGAAAAAAAAAGAAAATAGAGCACACAACTGACCTGAAACACCTTTTTGCAAATTCATATTGATTTGTATAAGCCCACATATTTACCCTTTGGACTTCTTGCAAGCACAATTGTACTCTTGAAATTTTAAATATCAGCTCCATCAAAGTTGGTAAACCTCTTCTGCAAAGTTAAATCTATCATTTAAAAGTTGACCTAAAGGTTTTTGTGTGTATGTGTGTGTGTATGAAATGTGCACCAACTCACTCAAATTACTTCACTAGTCTTGACCTGATACAATGCATATTGTACTCACTGGATACACATACTTACACTGGTGGCTACACAAATGCTAATCTACTATACAACCTAACTTTTAAAATCTAACTCTTCTTTCAGCTGAAACTGGTTTCTATGACTTCTTGTCTCTCTCACTCTCCTTGTACCAAAGTTGTAGATATCCCTATGCCTTTATAACAACTGCACGTACTATATAGTAAATGTAGTCACTATCTCCCTCTCCTGGCCATATATTTGCACTAAACTTGACTATATGAACATCTAGCGACTTGGTCCCAGCCAATGGTCATTTTATATGAAGGGTGAAACTAATGTGTAGCAGTGCTGTCTTTGTCAAGTAAATGTATGGAGGATTTAATTACAATTAGAGCATAAATGAAAGTGGAACATAGTTATTTGAAAAATTGTGACTAAACAATTTGATGTACAGAAACCTCAAAACGGAAACTTTGTAATAATTCTTGTGACCACAGCTGTTGTCACATTTATGTTTCTGTTTGGCTGCCAACTAACAAATGTAACATGAACACAAAGCAACAGTTTCTGAATTCTTTGATATTATTGTAACAACAAAACATTGTACAACAAAATAAAGGAGACTAGGGCTCCAGTACAAATAGTCATTTAAAGTGTCAAAGACGCTACATTAAAGACAATACAGAAAATAAATATCGTACTGTGAATTGAGTGTATTGTTACAACCCTACACACAATCATATATTGTCTTACAAGCTGCAAACCTTTGGTTTAAGATAACATGATAAATTAGTAGTAGTTGGTAGTATTATTTGGCAATGCCAATTTTTACAGGGCATAGTCAAACTGCTATATTTACAGGCACATTGTAGCATTTGCATGTCGTAAAATTGTCATTTGTGCCTGAATTTAATTGTATTTCAGCTTCATTTAAAATCTATATCTACGGAAGCGTCTTGCTGCCACACTAAGAAAAGAAAAAGGCTCAGTTTCATGTAATAACGTGAAACTGAGCCATTTTTTTTCTCAGTGTGGCAGCAATACGCTTCCGTACATATCACTACATAATGTCAAATAGCAAAAAAGTCTTAAATTATGTACTCATCCTAATTATTTCATCAAACAATTTATCTGTGTGCTCATGTGTGCATACAAGTTTAAATGTTTAAAAAGGGGAGCAAAACCCACCTCTGCTGCTTGTGCAGATAAACGGCAATTGATCAAAACAATCTGCAAGGCCAAAGACAGGCAGCTGAGCTGACCAGCTTTGCAGCATCCTGCAGCCTTGCAACCCCACCTGCTGGAGATCTGCTTCTCATGTGAAAAATAAATTCACAGGTAACACAGGAAAAGATTGCACACAGTTAAAAATGTTTTCGTTATAAAACAACCAGATACTTTTCATTATGTGCATGTTAGCTTCCATTCTTCATGCTGCACCCCAATGTGCTCAATAGCACATGTTCTTTACACATATGTTAATGTACCTCCTTTTTTACTATTGTTTAGCAAACGTAGCTTTTCATCGTGACTAAGTCATTAAACTCTTCCTGTAAGGACAAGTAAAGTTCCTACCGAACGGTGGACGGACAATTTACTGGATATCCTCAACTGTGGATGGATATCTTTAACACAGTAATGGCTCATTGCAAACCAGTGGGACCAGAATGCCAGACTGGTGACTACCCCTCTTATGAGAGACGCACGGCTGTCAACATTGCTGATTGCTTATGTGCAACAATTAAATTGTGAGGCGTGAATGTAATTAATACCATATGCAATACAGCTGCAACCTTGAACATAAGGTTTGGAGCTGTGCCAGCAGTTCTCAGAAGGCAACAGATGCACCATACTGTACAGCACGTGTGTCAAACTCAAGGCCGTGGGCCAGATGCAGCTTGTCAGGTAATTCTCAATTACAGAAACACATACATTAAAATTCGTTTGACATCCCTGGCTTAAGCCAGGAGGTGGGACTCCCGCTGGCTCAAACTCACATTGCCACAAAGGCAAGCAAGGTGGAGCCTGGTTGCACATACAGTATGTCAGTATTGTTTATATGTGGTTAAAGCAGGATGATTGAGAGTGAATGTAACAACATGGGTGCAACGGCTACCTTGCGAACCATTTATAAAAAAGTCAGCTCTCACCAATGTCTTGACTGTGTGAAGCAGTGATTAGCAGTTCATGTGTGGCAAGGTGAGGCTCAACTCCTGGCCAACTCTTTTTTATTCCAATCCCGATAAAACATAGAAGTGGTGTCATAACGGGTGCCCATACATGGCACTGATGATTTGAGTTTTTCCTCCATTGTTGGCAAACTTCTCTGCCTAACTTCAGGGAGGTGCCAATGAGATAAACCATTATGACATCTGAAAATTTAAATTTTTCCAACTTCATTTGCATCGTCAGAAACTCCAATCGCACCACCTGATATTAAATAAATAGTTGACGCTCAATTCACGCTTATTGTGCTTGGATGGAATACCCCATAACACCTTCCTGCAAGTTTCTCCGCACTGCCTTAGCAGTCATTCCGCAGTCTTCTGGTAGTTCTCTTTCTCCCCCCAATAGCACCTCTCAACTCGACTCTAAACTCTCTATAATACTTCTCATTTCTCATTTTCCACCATTTAATATTAGCTTTGTTTTCACCTTTACTCTACACAAAGTGGACTGTGATTCAAATCCACCAGCTACCTTTGTTGTTCCTGGTCCAACCTTATCTGGGATGGTGGACTAAAGTGGTACTAAACACAGGCGTTCTGTATGGCAGGCATGAGTCCTACCATTGCGGAACTCATAACATATTGATTGGAGATTAATGCCAAATTTAAAATCCCTGTCAATAACATGTACATTGTAACTTGAACTGTAACCTATCACCCCCAAGCTTCATTAAAAAAATGTGACCTTACCTGGACAAAATAGCTGTGCTTGCACCTCTTTGATCACTGGGTGGCTGCTCAGGTGTTTTGGGCTCCAGCTGAACAGTGGTTCCTCATTTATGGCCAAACACACATTGAGAGTAGTGACATGTCTTGTATCCAGTGACATATTCCAAACATTGAGGTCAGTTATAGCTCCATAGAAAGGTTCTGTAAAATTCCCTCCAAAGGAATCCTGATCCTGACCCAATATGAATATTCCATCTCCAAGGATATCCCTCGAATTATCTGTATCTGAACCCATGTCTTTTTTAATGCCGTCCACATAGATAGCCCAGTCGCCACTCCTACGGTGCCAGGTTACACAGATGTGATGCCACATTCCATCATTTTGGAAGGATGCCTTGTATGGGAGATGTTTTCCATGAATTATGAGTGCCAAAAGAATGTGCTCCTGCATGTCCACTTGGCCTCGTAGCTGAAACTCGTTAGTAAATACAGGTGAAGCATAGGAGAAGATGGTCGACACCTCAGTCCATTCTATGTCCCATTGAACTCGAACACACACACTGACAGATGACAGAGCTGGGAAGGATAGGTTGACACGAGCAAACCCCTCACGGGATTCCTTTGGGAAGTGAATAGCAGGGAAGAGTAAATCTAAACAGGGGGAGATAATAAGATATTGGTTAGATTGACCAATTGATAAAAACTCATCATCACTGCTAACTAGAAAAAACTATTAGATTCTTACCTAACCTCGATATAGTACAACATTGTATTAAATCTGATACGGTCCATGAATGTTTGTAGCTTTATTTGTTGTTGGTTGCAGTAGTGTAGTCGTAGGTGTTGACATGACAACAATTGAAATCCACCTAATCCGAGATCTCAACACTGGTAAATTTGAGGTGATTTTGTTGGAGAGGGAATCTCGACAAAGAAACCTCTTGAAATGTTTTGCCTAATTTGACACATTTAATAGAAATTCTGTTGCACTTGAAGAGGTGAAGGTGCAGGAGTTCAGGTACTTAGGATCAACTGTTCAGAGCAGAGGAGACTGTGGAAGAGAGGTGAAGAATAGAGTACAGGCAGGATGGAACAGCTGGAGAAAAGTGTCAGGAGTGATCTGTGACGGAAGAGTGTCAGCTAAGGTGAAGGGAAAGGTTTACAGGACGGTGGTGAGACCAGCCATGATGTATGGTTTAGAGACGGTAGCAATAGGCAGAAGACAGGAGGTGGAGCTGGAGGTGGCAGAGTTAAAGATGCTAAGATTCTCTTTAGGAGTGACAAGAATGAGGTCATTAGAGGGACAACACAGACAGAAAGGGTTGGAGAAAAAGCTAGAGAAGCCAGATTGAGATGGTTTGGACATGTGCAGAGGAGGGACAGTGGATACATTGGTAGAAGAATGTTAGAGATGGAGCTACCAGGTAGGAGACAAAGAGGAGATATATGGATGCAGTGAGGGAGGACATACAGATAGTTGGAGTCAGAGTAGAAGATACAGAGAACAGAGATGGAAATCAATGATTCGCAGTGGCAACCCCTTAAAAAAGGGACAAAGTCAAAAGAAAAAGAAGAAGCTGTTGCACTTCTTGTTGTCATAAGAAGGTAAAACTGAATGCAAGAATTAACTGAATAAACTACTACTTTCAAATATAAAAAAAATGCCTTCAAGGGCAGAATACAGTTTTTTCAGGTTTCTATGAGATTTACTTACAATTCTTGGAGAGGTCTAATGGATTTGTTGATGCCTTCTGAGGGTTTCTGACCCAGATAGGTGTATGAAACTGAGTCAGCTGAAGCAGCTCTTGAGCTCCATTATATTCCTCTTCCAGGTCCATGGAGGCAAGGGAGCTAAACTGACCTCTGCAGAAACTCTCAGCCTCTGAAAAGGCTACAGAGGTATTTACCAACTGGAAGGCAGTGTTTGACACTAGATGGACCAGTTTAGATGTTCCTGACATTTTGGGGGAAGGCGGGGGAGAGAAAAGAAACATAAGCAGTGAAATACAGTGTGTTAATATTACAGTACAATAAAGCCAAACTTACTTAATACATAGATAGTTTGCACATACTTGAATAGTAAGTACTCTAATGTACTACTAATCGGTAATGATACTAGTTTAATGTTTTAGGATAGAACTGCATCAATAATAATAATAATAATAATAATAATAATAATAATAATAATAATAATAATAATAATAATAATAATAATAATAATAATAATAATAATAATAATAATAATAATAATAATAATAATAATAATAATAATAATAATAATAATAATAATAATAATAATAATAATAATAATAATAATAATAATAATAATAATAATAACACCATTACATGTGCCGTTGCCGGATGGTAAAAACTGACTATGATGAAAATCAAAATGAAACTGCTCGCCTGATACTAGACAATTTGTAATACAGCAGGAGAAGAAACAATGTATAACTATGTCTCACCATGGGAGTCCCCTACTCTGTCTGCCCAAGTATATGTTGGCTCGTTCTTACAAACCATCTACAGGAGAAAATGTGACATGTTATCATTATTGACTTCTAGCAGTTACATATAGGATAGCACTGTTATAATGATAAGTTATCTTATTTCAAAAAGATAAAAACTAAATTATGTTTTTAAAAAATGATTTACTATAAAATTTCAAGAAAAGGAACTTTTCATATGGAGTAAAGGGAGAAGGTTCTTACCATTAAGAAGAAGAGTGCAAATCCAGTATCCAGGACTCCGTTCATCTCTAAACCAGTAAAATGTTTCTCTGAAAAATAAAAACACACACAAACACAAATGTAACATGTAACCTAACTTAATATGTAGTTTTATTTCAAGCAAGATGTATTTTGAAGATATGTTACTTACAGTTAGCAGTGTGCTATCAGATTCGATCTTCAAACCAACCCCACTGTTATTGGACAATTAACTCAAATCAAAACTTCTCTGGTAGGTCAACTAAAACGTGTAGCATACCCAGCTGGTTTACTCTTTTTGGCTGTATCCAGGGGGTCCTGTTCATCTGTCCAATCTGCCTCCTCCCCCATGTATCCTTGTCCCTTCCATTCATACAGACCCCTCCCTCCTCAGCAGCCTAAAGTCATTTGCTTTTCTCATGCAAATAGGTTATTTCTTAGGAGTCTTACGTAAGCAGAGTCAAGTGTTTAGTGCTGGATTCATCTAAAAAAGCAGGGCAGTGGAATGGTGTTTTTTTTTACAACCTAACTCTTTACTTAAACCTTTACACTTTATGAAAACTATTTCTGGACGACATGATACAAAACTGAAAGCACACCGACAGAGTCATCTGTTGAGTCATTTTAGTATCTTTCAGTGGTGTGCGTACAACATGACCATAAATGGTAAATTCCTGGTGGTCATCGTGATCGTGTTATAAATCATGATTCTATTCAAATCAAGCTTTGACGTGATCTACGGTTTTTGTGTTAAAGATTAACTTCAATTTTTTTAAAAAGACCACACACTTTCGATGATGTACTGTTGGATCACGCACTTGATTATGGTTGTTTTTTTTTTCTCATTCTTTTTTAATGAGACATTGCCCCCCATCCCCCCGTCCGTATGTACACACACATACGTGTGTGTGTGTATTTATAAATGGTAAATATAACAGAGTTTTTATTCCCTCTGACCAGACGGGAGACTGAATTCTTAGGAATTTCCCTGTGAATCCCAGAGCAACGCGGTCACCAAAACATGAATGTGGAACACACTTGACCTACTTACTACATTCAACATGGCAGCTGTAAAGACAAGGGCAAAAAACAAAAGACTCATTCCTTTTTAAGCCTGAACGTTTCTACTGATTTTTTAAATGCACAAATGCGTACCCACTAATCATTTTTAAATATACATGATACACACAGGAGTCAATGTTATGGACTTGCATGCATTGTTTCTTTTGATATTTGTCTCAGAGTTCAAAATTCATTCTGGCTGTCCATCTGCAGATTGACGATATCTGTGGTCAAAACGTTCCCAACCAAACAACAATGCCGCAGCCAGCAGCACACAAAGGAGGCCCGGGCCATTTGACCTCCTCCCTTTACACGCCTTTCCCAGCCACTGTAAACCTGCTTCTGCAACTGCCACCCCATGCATTTCCATGACAACCAAGAGCTTGTTAGGGAGGTATGGAAACATCCAACACTCAGTGTGATTGCATTGTTGCTCTGAAAAGGGCAATGTCCAAATGTGGAAGGAGAATAGTGTTTTTTCTCTCCTGAAAAACATTGAAGAATGGTACAGAAATACTCTAAGGTTTTATCTGTCTATCTATCTATCTATCTATCTGTCTATCTATCTATCTATCTGTCTGTCTGTCTGTCTGTCTATCGATCGATCGATCGATCTATCTGTCTGTCTGTCTGTCTGTCTGTCTGTCTATCGATCGATCGATCGATCTATCTGTCTGTCTGTCTATTTATCTATCTACGTTGTAATATAAATGTATATTATTCCAATGACATTTTCCTCACCCTAAACAATCATATATACACCAAAATATAATAATAATATTTACAATAACTTATTAAATTGTTGTGGTGCTTTGGTCCAGAGGCAATGTCTCTGTCATTGGTGTGGAACCCCAGGGTTCACCTCCTGGGCAAGATCAAATCCCAGTTAGGGTGGTTGGTACCTTCCAGTGGACTCACCACCCGCAGGAAGGTTTGGGGGGGTTGGTACGGTGCAATGTGATTTGGGTGGCGACTGCTGCCCTCGCGACCCGGGATATGTTTATATGATATAATATGTTATTGCAATATAACACTTAAAAATAACACGAACTAATAATGAAGTTAAAACCCAAAGTGTCATAAACCAGCAAAGTAATAAATATTATCAGAATATTGATCATGTGGGGTTATTGAGTAAAAAAGATATTTTCTGTAAGTGAAACAAACCCATGAACACACTGAACAGGTTCTAACAGTTTTTGTTTTTAATACATTGTTATTGACAGGACATACTGTATGTAGATTTTTTTTCTATGCGTCTTCAACCAAATGTACAACAATTTATAAATACTTCAAGGTGTTTTCATTCTCATTGCAACCACTGGGGGGCACTCTAATGTAAGCGATGTCAGTATCCGGGATATACAGTACTGTATGTGGTGCACGCTGTATGCACGCCCAGCAGTATTTGCCAGCGCATTAACGACAGTGGACCAAGACTGGGACGGGTCCCAGTCCCAATTGGGGGCACAGAGAAGGCACAAACAACGATTCTTACCATGTTTAACTATATCCTTCAAATCTTTAATCATTAAGAATTAGCTTATACATCAACAAAAAAGTTTTTAAGTCAGGTGTTCTCCAGTTGATGAAATATTGATTAAAAAAAGACAAGCTTATGAAGCACGTATCTTTTATCTTTTCATAAGATCTCATTATCCTCTGCTAATGTAACAACAGGTCTATGGTTATATTCTCTTTGCAAACTAGGATTGTCCTAATAACGTATTTTAAAAAGCAAATTAGAATGTTAATTATTTTATTCTGTGTACTTTCCAGTACAAATCACAGTCAGAAATTCTTCTTCAGTTATGGATTTAATATATATTATTGAGCTGAAAGGCAGAGTTAAATGGTTGCACAGATTTGTGGTTTAAACAGTGAAATGCAGTGTGTGCCAAAGTTACACGGACTACCCTACCCATAAGGCACTGCGGACATATACACCGACATGCTAAACGCTAAAAGTTAAACCCGTGCACACAAACAACCACAACGCAATATAACCACGACAATTTATTTCAACATAATAGCGTACAGTGAGGTACTCACTGTTGCCGCTACCATTTAACCTGTAGCCGAATTTTACCACATACATATTTACGCTCACACCGCTGCACTTCCTGGTCCGGCAGCATCAAGTGTCCCCCGTGGAAACTCGCGCCATGGGAGCGCGCCGATTTTAAGGTTTCATCCTGACTAACAATATAAATTTTAATATTAATCAGTCTACAGTTCCTCATAATTCATATGACAAGTGTGTCATTGCTATTGCCCTATGCTTGTATTAGAGCAACAGTAAGTGAATGGACAATGAAATTATTGAATATGTATAGTGTACCATGGTGCCTATGTGTTCAAATGTATTACAGTTTTAGTCAAATTTACTAGAATAGGTAATGTGATTAAGTTTTGACAATCTCATTTAATTTTACATAATAATAATAATGGTTAATAGCAAAACGTAGTATAGGGTGAAGCATATGGGTTTGTTAGAGGTGAAAGCTATACAGCTAAAACAAATCGAGTGGCTTGTTGGATAAACAAACAGTAAAGTGACTTATGCATCTAGAGACTGCTTTCTTCCTTTCTTTTCTCTATTTATAGTTTAAAGACAGAGTTTTAATCTTCTTTTAAGTCAAGCATTAGCAGAACTTTTATTCCAGTAGTGTCAAAACTGTGAGTGATGACAGGTGCTTAGACAGCAGGATTCATGGCGAGCGTTCCCTCCTTTATAGTGTCCATAACTCTTTTGAGGGTAACAGCAAAAATAGTCCTGTAACAGCTCTCTTGACAGACGTTTGCCTGGTTCAGTTAAATGAAGCATCTCTTCTTCTATTGCTCTGCTTCCAGAAATGGGCCTGCGGCGCAATGTAACTACCATTTCATGTCCCAAAAGACTCAGGACCAATAGTTGCAGAAATCAGATGTGACCAGGACACATAAATCATCTTTTAATCACTGAAAAGAGCAGGTGCAGGTGTCATCACTGTTTTCTCAATAAAGAAAATTATTTATTTATCTACACACAAACACATATACACAAGCAGAAAGATATAGAGAAAGAGAGTGTGTAATCATCAGGCACCATTTTTTTTGAGGACCTGTCAAGATGCTCTCTCTCTCTCTCTCTCTCTCTCTTTCTCTATCTCTCTCACACACACACAAACAGGGTCAGTGTTTTAGAGGCGGCCCTGTCAGTCCCTGTAATGAATCCCTATGTGATCACTACAGCAGCTGTGGTCATCACTCTCTGACTAACACACATACACAAAAATACACACACACACATACAAACACACACAAGCACCAGCACATCCTGCTGACCCTATGCTCATTCATCATTTCACCCCTTACGGAGTTCCTTGTGGAAGTCTGGGGTACAATGGAGATGGAAGAACTAAGGAGGGGGGGGGGGCTGTATCGGTCATGGAGGTTCACAGTTGCGGTGTTGGTGGAAAGTGTGTTTAATAGGCCTCGAGAAACCAGCACAGAGAAAGAGAGAAAGTGTCTACACACGGAGAAAAAAAAATACAACAAAGCCTACATCTCAGTGTCCAGGGAATTATTTACAAGCTGAATGTGAGATTATGTGGAAGGGGATCTACTCAGGACTCTTAAGAAGTTAGACCCCACCACCTCCCACAAACCAAGTGATTCACACACAAACTTAAAATGCCTTGGCGCTAAAATACTCAAGTAATACTTTGTTTTAGGAAGATTAACTTTGCTACCAGATAGATATTATTTTTCACTATTAGTCAGTGTTCCATTGTCCCTGCAGAAACCAACAATAAAGACACAGTTACCCCAGGAGCTTAAATAATAATAAAAAAAGTAAATTATGAAACTGTTTATAACGGTTACATTTTTGGAATTAAAAAAAAAAAAATCTTTTTTCACTTTAGGTTTCCTTCTAAAGGCCCTGTAAGCCCAAGAGTTCTGCTCAGTATCCAGCTGTTCTGATGAGTTACTGTTAAATTAACTGTTATCTATTTACTTATTAAGGCTGTCTGCACCTGTATCTTTGTCATGTCAAAACATGACCTGTTTGGTAATTACACCACCATATCATGACAAAGCCACACTTTTAACCATTTATTGTTTTTCTTTGTATTCTTTAACAACTGTATACTATTAAATATGTAGAAATATAATATCTAAAAAATGTATATAGAATAGTGGTTCTTAACCGTGGTGGAGCCAAACAAACCCTTCGGTGATGGCCAAGCGGGGGCGTGTCATCACGAATCATAGTCTTTCATATTCTCACTTTTGTCAGCCATTAAATTAATATGCAAAGTCATTTCTAGTGCACTAATAAATGCCTTAATAATGTTCACTGTAGGGAGAAGCTGAGTTAGTATTATAGTGAGAATTCTGTCTTCATATTTAAGTGAAAGCTTTATCCACTCTTTCGCAGTCTGCTTCTGTCCATGCCTTAGCATCTCTTCCTGCTCGCTAGAAATAGAAACCAGACATTACTAGGCAATAAAAGGATAGATATTGCAGATGATTAGACCCATGGGTATACGGAGTGCAGAAATGTAACCAATTTATTGTTCAGGAGCAGGAGAACAGTGTGCATTGCATCATTCAAAGGCA